GACCCAACCATCATAAAGTAATTGGGGTCCAATAAAAACAATGCTCCACCAAACCTCATAAACATGATCACTGAAAGTCGTACTACAGATGTTCAATGTCAAATCACATTTGAATAGCAATAGCATTTAACAGGATCATGTATTCTCTTAACACCATCGCAAGACATCATGTAGAAGCCACAACAGTACTCATATTTTCCAACAAAATCACATCTAAAAATGAGACATCAGCAAGTACATATAATATAATGTGTATTAACATTTTTCGTCAGGAAATAAAAACGTTATCTCCTTGTTACCATCTCCAGGTTCAGCTAAACATGGGTCCTCCTTTGGTCAAAAGTTTGTTCCCCCCTCCAATGAGTGTGACACGCGTTGCACACGAGTGACGAACGGGGTGCACACGGGTTGCGTAACGCGTTGCCCATGTGTGTAAGGGGAATGAACTTCTAGGCAGTAGTGTGGGTCCCTTTATGCTGTCGGAGGTGACAGGTCTACATGCATGTATACCTTACTTACTTACTTATATTGGAAATTTAACGTGCGCTTTCCGACTGCAAGCGTATGTCGCACACGGGCCCGGCCAGGCCATTTAATGTGTTTCCAAAAAGGGGAAAAGTGAGTTTGTGCAACCCAGGAGGGGGGCTTTAGGGGTTGCTGATATAATAATTTTGAAATTTTGAGATTTGGAATGAATGCCAAGAGTGGGTGGGGGACGAACTAAGGGAGCTGTGTGTGTTGGGTGGTTGTTAGATATGGTAGTTTTGGTTTTAATATTTTATTTGGGGTTTAAATGCGACTAATTAGTCCTGTTTTTATTAGGTATATGCCTAAGGCTTTGAATTTTTCTAATTTATTTTGTGGATTTATTATTTATTCTAGTGTAAGTCCGGTTTTAAGATTTAGGGTGGTCTGTAGTGTTGTTCAGTGTGTTTGGTAGTGTTTGCAGTGAATGAGTACGTGTTCTGGTGTTTCTTGTTGTTTGCAATGTGGGCAGTTTCCTGTTGTGTGTAGATTAGCTATTTTACGGTGATTATTTAGTTCGGTGTGGCCTGTTTGTAGTTTAGTAATTATTCTATCGATTATTTTGGATGGGTGTAGTATTTTTGGTTTATTTAGGTTTTTTTTGAGTACTTTCCTGATTTGGACGCGGCCCAGAAGTTTAGGGTAAGTTTTTCCCTACGTAGTTTAAGTGGCATTTCTCCTGTTAAGGCCTGGAGTGAGGTGGAGGAGGTGCCATGTTGAGTTCGTGTGTTTAGTTTTAGGGCCTGATACTGGATTGAGTCTAGTTTTCTAATGAGAGAGTTGTTTAAGGTGTCGTAAATGGCACTGCCATAGTCTAGTTTGGATCTAATTAGTGATAGGAGGGTGTTTTTAGAGGTCCCCCAGTTGGAGCCGGTTAGGCATCTTAACGTGTTTAGGTCTTTGCTGCATCTGGTTACTAGGTTTTTGTGTATACCTGTGTACCTGGGTCCCTTTATGCTGACGGAGGTGACAGGTCTACATGCATGTATACTTGGGTCCCTTCATGCTGACGGAGGTGACAGGTCTACATGCATGTATACTTGGGTCCCATCATGCTGACGGAGGTGACTGGTCTACATGCATGTATACCTGTGTACCTTGCTCCCTTTATGCTGAAGGAGGTGACAGGTCTACATGCATGTATACCTGTGTACCTGGGTCCCTTTATGCTGACGGAGGTGACAGGTCTACATGCATGTATACCTGTGTACCTTGCTCCCTTTATGCTGAAGGAGGTGACAGGTCTACATGCATGTGTACCTGTGTACCTGGGTCCCTTCATGCTGACGGAGGTGACAGGTCTACATGCATATATACCTGGGTCCCTTCATGCTGACGGGGTTGACTGTTCCTGAGTACCTTGATCCCTACTTGATGACTCCCATCTCCCATGAGGTGACTGGTGTACATGCAAGGTCTGCAAAATGTAGTATCCCTTGATGCATTCGTAAATTTGTAATTAGTGCGGACGCCGTGCGTCGACGATTTACGAGAAGACACCTCCACTGTCACAGGCCACACCGAGAACCCATTCTGACACAACGTCATCGCCGGGACCGTCTTCAGTCGGCAACGCAGCACCAGCATTGGCGCCGCCAACAGTGGAGAAGAGTCCTCTTCTCAGACGAGAGCCGTTACTGTATCTCAACAGCAGATGGCAGAGAGAGGGTCTGGCGACTCCGTGGGGAACGTTATTCGGTTGCTTGTGTTGTTGAGAGAGACTCTCGTGGGGTGATCCGAACATCATGGTGTGGGCCGGCCCTGTGGTCTTCCAGAACATCGGTCTAGGGAGAGGCAATGGTGTCACAGCAGCTCGGTACATTGATCCAGTCCACACACCATACCTCATTTGGCACGTCGCCGCAACCACGAGTTTCAGCATGATGACGCCCGTGCCAAAACTGCGAGAGCAACAAGAGACTTCCTCCAGCAGAATGGCATCAGAACCATGAAGCGGCCTGCCCTCAGTCCCGAATTAAATCCCACTGAGCACCTGTGGGACGAGGTTCAAAGACGGCTGTATGACGTCCGACCAAGGCCGACAACTGCAGCTGAACTGCGTCAGGCGTTCCTTATAGTGTGGGCTCAAGTGCCTATGGCCTTCTTCAACCACCTTACCCATTCCATGTATCGACGCTGCACGGCAGTCATCAATGCACATGGCGGACACACGAGATACTGACTTGTGATGCCATTTTCTCAGAGACTAGTGTTGTGTGTCACTTTAAGAACATTTGACACTTTAATTTCCACCTTGATGATCAGTTTTGCCAAGTTTCATCTTTTTAATATGTCTCAAAGTATGTTTACATATATCTATCCATGGTGACGTTTCTGTTGCGGTTCACTAAAGTTGGAATATTAGTGAGTGCGGCATTACATAAAAAATAAGAAATGCTGAAATATGAATGAGTAAAACCGGATAATGAAACGACATAATATATCTGGTTGAAAAGAGGAAAATTAAATACATCTAATGCGTGTGGTCGGTAGATCACTTGATGGCTAAATCTATTATAGAGACCTAACAGGAAAGGTGTTTTAAATTGGCCCCGATGATGACTCAGCAAATCTGAATTTTCCGAACGTTACAGTAGTAATGGATACATACAGATTGTCTATAATATTCTATGCAACGCGCATATATTTGTAAAACGAATTCACGGCGTCGTATGTATCTGGACTAAGTAAAGATTTGTTCCACACATGCAGAATGCCCAGAACGAATTGAAGATTAAAGTTGTATTTTATGTTATGGACATGAATGAGTCTATTTATAAATTGTACATGAAGCAATAGCCTACCCATGGTGAAGTAGTTGGCCAACAGCATCCAGGTACTTGAGTGGATTGTTTCTGCTTGTGGAAGTTGGTCCTTTCGTCGAGCAAGGCGGTTTTCCATTTCTCCACCCACTCTTTTGCGGTTTTGTGGCGGCTAAACTGATCACTGGGTGTGAATAGGCTATACTCGGAAGGCATATATTGTTTCTCATAGCAGAATTGTTACTAACTGCGATGTAAACATCCACTCACTCACTCAACATTTACAAAGTGACGTCATCATTCAAGAGAAGGGAATTAAGATTTTTCCCCAACACTGTATTTTATTTGGTTGTAATACTTATGAATAATTCTAATATTCAAACGTTTAAATTCAAACTTATCAAAGTATTATGTAGCAAAAGTGTGATATAGTGATATAATTTGAATACTTTCACAGTTTTAATACACTTCTAAATAGAACAAAATATTTTGTCTGTGTTCTGTAAAGTATTAACACCCCAGGGGGAATTTCGGGTGAGAGTTAAGGTCCACGGCAACCAATATTTGTCGTAAGAGGCGGGTTGTCAGGCTCGGTGTTTTTGGTTACCGTTGATTGCGTGTCATCGTAAACCAGCGGCATGGTACATTGCTCATAATATCAATCACGGTTACTGCCAGGACATTGACATACAGCTGGTATGTTGCGAAGAGCGGCGTTAAAAAACAAACAAACATTTATATAGTATTACGAGTATAAACAATTACTGTATCGTGAAATTAATGCGCCACCAAATTAATGCGAGTGTCAACCCCGAGCCTGACATGTGTTATGAAGTGGATGCGAGTAGCCCCTACGTTTGAACTTTCGTTCCACGTACATGTATAACATATATCAAACAAGACAGATATAGCACGTGTCAAATAAATACGTGTCAGTGGAACATATTTACGATCAAGAAAATCACTGATGATCAGCAACGGATGAAAACATTAAAGCTCTTAACCAAATCACTCACTGCATCTTAGAAAAGTCTAACTGCATTTGTTCCCCTAAGCTATCATGATATGATTTAGAGCATCCAACTTCCATAAGATGTTATGGGATTTTATTTCGTCAGTTGACACAATATATTTTGAGTACTGCTGTTATGCAAAAGACCTTACGAAAGAATAAAAAAGAATTACATCTATTGACCAATGGGGTAGGTAAGTTACGGTGTAATTGGTGTCTGTCTGTGTTATTATCTATAACCCCTTCAAAAGAACTGCCGTTCATCTTTTCATTTTTGATGAATGTCCGGATCTGCCATATTGCATTATCTCCCTTTTTATGATTCCATGCATGCAGAGGCTCTGAGCATAAACAGTACTTCACTGACAATCGCAATCTCTATATTTTCCCTTTACATGTTAAATACCATAACGGACTTATGACGCATTCTGAAATAAACACCGCTTTAATGTAGTAAGTAGAACATGCCACTTTTAGAACATCACCCAGCATGCATTTCTGTTCATTCTCATTCCCTCCTAAACATGCACACTCTTGCACACACACCATCTTGCACACGAAATACAAACACATGTACTATGACGTTCCCAGTTGTGACAAGATACAGCATTGTCATTGAGTAAGTCACCATAACCTCTACTATATATAGTTATGACCCGTTAAACATTTGTAGTCATTATACTTCCTTGTTTGTACACACACCACCTCGCAGGCCACTAGGCACTATTACATCAAGCTATATATAGCTCCAGTCCACCTAGTGAGGATTGTCGGTTCTTGTTTGGCTTGTGTTAGTTATGTCATTTGTATTTGTGCTTGTTCATTTTACATTGAAAGACTGCATTTTTCCTCTGTGATATGTGTAGAACTATGATTTAAAACATACCTGCAAGATTCACGGAAATCGACACTTTGAAGATGTCTTAGGAGAGTGATTACGTGCTGACAGTCATGCATTGAACCTGCGAAAGTTGTGTACCTTGCCTGTGATTCAATTGTCAATGTTTGGGACTTCAGCGAGTCGACATTCTGCATACTAAATACGAATCCAACAGTTTAACGACATGTAATGTCTGAATGGAGTAGATATGTTGTATATCCATGGACATACAGAAAGAACGTATTGTATTTATGAGGACTGAGATTTAACAGCTATGCACGCAGAAAGAGCGTTTGTGGTCTGTGTTTATTTCGTTTTGGCTGCACACGGTGAGTACATAGACAGAGAGACGTTCCATTACTTTGTGTACTTCAGGATAGGCTGCATTGTTCATGTTGCAACTGTATTTCCACCAGATTTCAATTTTAGAAGTGACATTCTCGTTCGTTTCACTATCCGATATTAGGACACAGAAAGTGGTATCTTATAGCCACAGAAGGTTTCATAAGTATTTCAAAGAATCTTTCAGATATTGAAATACGGTAATTAACTAGGATTTCTAATGGGTTTCGTTCTGTTGAGACACCATTAAACATTTCTTAAACATTAATACAATATTCTGCATGGGACTTAGACTTAATAACGTCAGTCGTTTGTCACTTATTTAAAGTGCAACGGGACATGTTGCTTATCAGAAAATTTACTTGTCAGAAAATCGCTGAACAGTTAATGGTTTGTATTTTTTCAGGGTTTATCAGTAATGTCTTATTTGAGACAAAATACCTGTTTGTATGTGATACATATATGCACCTGTCATTCCTTGTAAGTAGTTCATTACAACTTAAATCAAAATATATGTCGTTTGTTTGTTGTTTAACGTCGCACTCAGCAATGTTCCAGCTATATGACAGCGGGCTGTTAATAATCGAGTCTGGACCAGACAATCCAGTGAGTGACATCATGAGCATCGATCCACGCAGTTGGAATACGATAACATGACATCAACCAAGTCAGCGAGCCCGACCACCCGATAATCGCTTTTTACGGCAAGAATGGGTTGCTGAAGAGCTATTCTACCCCGGATCTTCACGGGTCCAAAATGTATGATGTATTTACCAAGTATATTTGACAGTGAACGTGTTACATTATATTCAAAGGTGACACCAGCCCTGGGAACAGATGTACAAAGGGGTTGCCGGGAACCTTCACAATACAGCTTCAGTGTTCTGTCGGTGAATGGATACATGTCGAGCAAGAGGCGTATGGAGATGGAGACGCCGTGACATGTCGCCTGAAAAAAGCTGAGTCGTGCAGTAAGGTTCTCAACAGCAACAAGAATGGCCTGGTCGTCAACTGTAATGGGAAACAATCATGCCATGAAGCCGTGACCGCAACATCCCAAACAAACTGTAACTTTACAGATGCTGCTGCGGAAGTACACTACAGCTGTATTAAAGGTGAGACGCCAGTTAAAGCCATGGCGCCTTTGTCTTTGATCAATTATAATTCGAGACAACTTGGCAATGAGGGAACTCTTTTACCTATCATATCCCTTGGTGAAAGAAAAAGTACACGAAACATAGTCATGCCGTGAAGCCATAATCGCAACACCCCAAACAAACTGTAACTTTACAGATGCTGCTGCTGAAGTAAATTATACCTGCATCAAAGGTGTGACGTAAATATAATATGTGATTAAACTGACACCATGAACATTGATTGCTTTTAATAATATTAGTCACTGATTCAGTAATACCTGCACGTATGATTGTAGATATATGACATAACAGTCATACATGAATATGTTAATGTTAATAGCAAATAATCTGCACGTTCGCGTGTACCTCATAATCATCAACTCATTCTACTGTATGTTTTGCAACCAACCATAGTATAGTATATTTTCTATCAACGTTGATCTGTCACATTAGGTGGTTGCCATTCTTTGACATTGGAACTTGACGTGCATCACATCTAATCTCGTTCTTAGGAATCCTAACTATTTTCGGCAGATCGTGTTTTCAAGCACTGACTTAAACTCGAATAAAGCTCGACGTTGTTAGGATGGAATATAATTCACGTTTCCTGATCATCGGCTGCACAACTTTAACAGTGCACAAATGAACATATCATGCTTTGACATAATTCACATAGGTATTGCTGGCAACATTTAAAACAAAATAGGGGCGGTCGGGTAGCCTAGTGGTTAAAGTGGTTAAAATATGTGTTAAATGTAATTTTGATATGAATCAGACGCACTACACGCACCTGTCTCTATCGGCCTAATGTGAAATAGGTGCGACTATATGTGAGATTAACCTAAATGTGAAAACAGGTGGCAGTGAGGGGGAGGATCTGCAATGTGTTTTTGCAGCCTCTAACCTGAATATATTTTATGTTCCGTGGCACGGGTGATCCTAGCGCCTGAGGCGCCGCAATTCTCGTGTCAAAAACCTATGAAGCTATGATCCTGGGTTCTAGATTTACCAGGGCCCCACCCGTGCTCGTTAATACACGCCCAAAAGCTGCATAACTCTGGGCTTTCCTACCAGGCTGACACGCCATGATATAACTAAAATACTGTTCAAGGCGCCATTAAACCAGACAAATTCTAAAGTTTGCTACGATACCCTTCAGTAATAAAATATGATTAATGTAATATGGTAGTTGCCGAGATTGCATTGAAGCTTATTGCGGTCCGCCTCAGTGAACAAGTGGATAGAGCGTCTGGTCGGTGGTTCGATCCCTTTCCCGCGTCACGTCAAAAGTCGGTACTGTTTAGCGTTCGTCTTTAAGGCGACAAGACAAGGACTGGTAGGTATACATGCAGTTATTCTTAGTGGGGTATTCATGTTTAACTGTATCATGATGGGTCAGTGGGTTGACACCACAAACCGACATACATCCGTACACACGTGTGTATGCACATCGCTATGTAAGTGCAATAATCTTGAACTCTACGTTAAGCTCCATTTCACATCATGACGAGGACATGTGATGACAAAATGATCACATTGAAAGTCAAATTTGACATTTTCAGAAATGTGGATTAATGTATTTAGTTCGTTATGACAACATGCACCTGACATGCAGTACACAAATATGTAATGCAAAAACTGTAAACACAACAAACACGTGTATACCTTCAGTTGAGAATTTACACCTGTGATATCGAGCATTCGCGGTTTATCAGATTATGCCTGAGTGATAACATGCGTACGTAACTGGTTTGGCATCTCTGGGTTTCTGCAGGCCGCCCGGAGAGGCCCGTTACTGTATCATGGGATATAGTCGCTCCAAACTATGTCATACAAATTACACATCACAGTTCCATGTGCGAATCATGAGTCTGTAGACAATTGTAAAAGTCGTATCGAAACTTTAGGACATGATATCCTGAGTCCGAGACTGTTTATCTCGAGGTCAATGAATGGAATCCTGAGGCCACGATTTAATGATTGTGCCGAAACTGTAATTACCTATTAAACGTCCATAATAATGCCTCATTATGATCATGTGTTCCTGATTAATTACGTTTAACTACGTTTATTGACGAAGGCCAAATATTACCCAATATAATGTCCAAATAAACTGCACATACATGGTGTGTCCAGCATGTTTCTTTTAGTATTGTTCCTCATAGCTGTCTATCTTGACGTGTCGATCAGAAGTGTATTTGTTTCACATTTCGAAAATCATGTCAAGGTTTTGTTGGACCAACTTCTATTTGTGCTCCAAAGCTATTCAGCTTCAGGTTTTCTTCATTTTAGCCCTGATCAACCGGGCGCCAGTACAAAGATCAAACATAAAAAAATCAATTTGCTTGATGTTCCTATTACCATAGATATATCGCTAGTTTGAATCCCAACCTATAAGTTGTTCTACTTGTCATGTGCACTGTGTTTCAGGTAGTATGGATATGTGTAGTTCAGTCAACAAAACAGTAAACGGGTCGGTGTACCTCCATTCCCCGGGATTCCCTGACAGTGACCCTGTAAACAGCAGCTGTGTTGTTAGGATCACAGGGGATAATATACAAGTAACATTGGTAGAACAGCGGATGAAGACAGGGTTACTTAACATCTCAGGTGACGGGAAACAACTCTGGACAAGCGTGAACGTGAACCAATACAACAGGGTATTTCCGGGAACAGCTGCCGAAGTAGTAATAGTCTATGATAACCATGATCAGAATGTATCAAATGTATGGATACGTGTTGCTGGTATGTATCAGTGTATAAATCATTTATATCTTTAAGTCCATATCAATTTATCAATCAATGAACAGTAAAATATGATCTAATGGCGATAGTGAATTTTGCCTTCCTTTCGAGAAAGCATGTAATAATTTCAATTTACCTTCAGTGATTCGTGTGTGAATCCCTTTAACCAAACTATCCTGAATAAATACTCTCTGATTTGTACTATGTTTCGACATCTCTCCAGAACCACTGGTTCCATAAAAAAGTGCAATAACGCCACACTGAAACCCCCCATCTTTTAACATCGATCCGTGATATAATTGTATGATCTATGACGTGACTGGTGCTTTCAAAGTGTATATAATGTATAATAAAATGTATTTTAACTAATTATTCAGTAGATATAAATGAATTACACGACCTATTGCGCCATGGTCTGCTAGTTTCTCATTCCATAAATCGCATACCTTCCTTAAGATAAAGGTGTAGCGCAGGCCTAGTGATTGCTGCAGAAATATGTTTTGCATAGCTTCAGGTCAAATGAATATAACTTCCAACGGACTAATGTCGGATGCATCAACCACACCAGTACCCATGTCACCACATCATCCATCTATTTCACAAGATACAACCAGTGAAACAACTGCGACAACAGGAAGTGCACCTTCTACTACTATGGGTGAGTGTCTACTGGTGACAATATTGTATAACCATGAACGTATACGTAAGTGATCAGTATTAATAGCTGGTTATAACTATATGTTTTTAATTACCACTCTTTTTTTTTTTTTTTCTTCTGTATAAATATAGAGATTTGTGTTGGGTAAAACATACTTGTTGACACACATGTAACAAATGTAGTCGATGTCTGTATTGTTATTACCTTTGTTCATTACCTTAAGAATAGCAATGGATTTGAATTAGCTTTTATAATAATCATTTATCTCAATACAGCTTTCCACGCACGTATAAACTGGTTTATATGTGTGTAAATAATCAAATGCTGTAAAAAGACAACATACAGAACAAACAAATCTGTCATATACATATTGCTGGGCTACCATCCGTAAGAACTACATCCGATTAGAACGACATACATGTACCATGAGAAGAGCAGCTGGTGTGCTGTAACTGGCTGTAAATCTGTCCGTATTGAAATCATCTTGTTTTGTGATATATCTTCTCCTTGCCTAAAAGGAATGCTCACAGTATGCATGAACAACTAAATACAGGCCACATGTACATGTAAACTAAGTAATATGTGTTTGTGAAATTACTTTTGTGACCTAATAAACACACACAAACCAGAAGCTTTATTAATTGGAAATGTTTTCAGTGCAGATATAGGGTACACAGGAAACATTCACACAACATTATTATTGTATGCATACCAATTCCCGAATGACATAATATCAATAATTGTCAACTTGCAGCTGTATGCGTCTAATTGTTTCCATGCATAATATAAGCATATAATGTAAACTCATTATGTTATCAATACCACACAGATACTATAATATTCAGTTATATATGCACGCACATACAAACGCAAGATATCGCGCCTGTTCCAAAAGCGTTTCTACCCGACGACTTTCGGGTGACATATTGTATACCGTTCATCAGGGGGATTATGCTATGCCGTTTTAGATGCCTTCGTACAATGGACTCTGCTTTTAAAAGACATTTCTTGGGATTATGGAAAGGGTTTTGTTGCTTTTATTCAATGTACATGTACATAGTGCTTAAAATATTTGACATATTTGTATAGGCTTTGAACACCTTGAATTACTATACATAGTGTATGTAAGATTCGACTACTTATGTATGGAACTGAGAGACAGAATACTTAACAGGATGGTATAATCCACATTTTTTAAAACTAAAAATCAGTAGCATTTACAATATATCCAATAATGCGGACACTTTGAAAAATTACATCATGGTACAATAACACAATGTGAAAAATGTGAAAATGTAAAAATGAATAATTACACCCCCCCCCCCCCCCCCCCCCCCAAATAAAACCCCAACAAAACAAAACAACAACCAAAAACAACTGTGTAATGAAAAGTCTTCTTTATTAACACTAATCCCACTGTTTATATATAAGAACTTAGCTTACAGAACGTATCTATGACTTTCTTCCACAATACCAAATAACTTACGAAACATTCTACTTTTATCTCCATAACATCCTTATCTAATGGTCTTATCAATGGTCATGTAATACTAGTCTAACAACATGTATATACATGTGTACAAAAGGTATGTGAAACTTTTAAAAGATTTCTTGAAACTTGTCTTCAAAGAACTAAACAATTTGTTTGAACCTTTCGCACTGCCACCAAACACCTCCTTCGATTAGTAGTAAATTAACATGTATTGTTCATATCTAAAACAACCGTCACTGAATAGAAATTCAAAGGGTTCAAAACATAAATATATTACACAATGATTCATATTCGTATTCATTTGTAACTCGGATTGTAACCTGGTGATGAAAACTAAATGATGATGTTTATCTCAAGCAAAATGGATAATTCTTGAAAATCGCACTTTGCGATTTTTGTCATTACACTAAGTAATATTCCTCAACAAAACATGAATATATTACACAATTCATCTCAACGGGAAAAATCATACATTATTTTAACCCAATTCTGCGTCCATTTCCTACGGTATTCGTTCTACAGGTTCTTTCTCTCAACAGACAAATCAACCACAGAGGCAAAGACAGTGAATCGAACAACGAAAGAAAACATGACGTCGACTGCTTCGTTTATAACAGGTGAATATATAAATAACTATTTAAACATCCAGATCGCATGATGAATGATTACGCACAGTTCATGTAGTGGTCTCATTCAATGCTCCATGGAAGCGGTTTTTCACGGACAAATGTACTCAAGCACTCAATTAGTCGGATTTCATTTGTTGGTCATTGAATATTACGGACCGATCGTCTGGAGGAGGTTGGATGGGGTATTCGCAGAACGTCCAGGATTTGTGCTAGAAACCGACTATTTTGTAACACGGTCCCATATTATTTTGAAGACACATTCATTATATTCAACTTCAATTTTTTTTGAATTTTTTTTCTTATATCACGTTTCATTGTTTGTTAGTTAACTCTAGATATCGTCATTTATCGGGTAGTATTTTTTTATATTTGTACGCGTCTTTGTACATGTTTTATCCATAGACGAACATTGGACATGTTAGCGTAAAGCATAGGATTCATATTCATATTCATTTGTAACCCGGATTGTAACCTGGTGATGAAAACTAAATATTGATATTTATCTCAAGCAAAATGGATAATTCTTGAAAATCGCACGTTGTAGTAATATTCCTTATAGGCGGAAAGGCTGGTTTTCACTTTGTAAATACCAGCACACGTGCAGCTATCTTCGTTCATTAATCATCGCGATATTTCGTAATTCTATTGCAAGTGGCAGGGACTATTGTTACCACTGTATTTCGTCGTGCCGTCTTATAATTGCCTAATAACAAGAAAGGGAACTTTCAACAGGATTGACTGAAACCAGTAACCGGAAAACGCCCGTAGAAATAAACAGTTATACTTCTTATGATTTTTCAAAAAGAAATATAGTCAGTACCAGATGTATTAACCGATACACACAATCTCTTGTACAGGTCAGCTCGTTCATGGAAAAAATCGGAACTAAAAGTGACAAAACCCTCTGCGTTATCAACAGAAATATCTGCTTATAAGAGGAGACCATTGTACTATTCCGACTATAACATTTGTATGAGATTAATAATGAAAGGTGATCGTATCCTGCCTCACCGGTGGCACCTGTCACAAACACATGCAACTGTTCACTCGAAACAACACGGGTACTCATGGAACAAGTCAAGATAGCGAATTGAATTGAATATTCCTTATTCTAATCCATGGCGGCGAATTCATATTCTAATGAAATTTGTACTCGTGATGTGAGTTGAGCGCTAATACTTTTGAGATCGACGTTCTTTTTGTATTTCTTGTTTGATAGGCATTACTTAGAAGTTGGCGGATGACAAGATAGACACAATTTTATGGATAACAACTTCTTTAATACTGTAAAAAGCGACGTTTCGGTATAGATCCTTATACCGTTGTCAAGCAAGAACAATTTACCTGACATAATTTCACAGAAAGGTATATTACTGGATTTTTTTCTGAAACCGTGTATTAATATTATCTTTGATGCACATATATGTACAAATATGATGTGTGGAAATGTAATCATTTTACATCACAATTGTTAATTCTTCATCGTAACTCCAGACAATAAGGACACAACACTTTCAACAACCACGTCAACGGCAGCTAGCGATGGGTCTGATCCAGGTAAACACTTTTACATCCATCTGAAAAACTCATTGTCCAATTTAACGTTTTCAAAGTCACTGGATACACACATATGTCCTTTGAGGGTTTTTTCTGATCCAGTACATAATCACACTGTAACACTTCATCAGCGTGCATGAAGCAGTCTAAATTGATCCAACCTTACTGACGTTAAAAATAATAACTTAACAGAACATATGGTCGGAAATGTAAAGTCAATTATTGCTTACGATACATAGATAGAGGTATTTCACTCACTTAGTATATCATCGTATTAACCTTACACTTACAGAAACGGTAGTTTGGATTGCCTCTGCGGCATCAGGCTGTTTTATCCTGATCTTAATTGTCGTGATTGCGGTTGTCCTTTGCAGGTAATATTATATTATTTATTTCCTTCTTCCTTTTTGTGGAGGGGGTGGTGGTACTGTAATATTCATAGTATAAGTTAATAAAAGTAAATAGATAATGCATATAATTGTCTTCAACTATCAACCTTAAGGGCTGTCTGAAATACATTCTCCTTAATATTAAATATTAATGTCACATAAACATGTCCAATAATTGTCTTATTGTCTTTCAGGTGTCATCGTGTGAAGAACAGCGGTTCACCTGTTGCTCCTGGTAGCGAGAGTTTTGAAAGGTCTTTTGAACTCACTCACTCACAAAACGAAACGAGTAACATGCATTTTGTGCTTGATCCAGAATTGGTTGCTGGAAGTGGTGAACGGATATTACATACAGAATCTAGACACAAAACTGAGAACTATAAAACTCCAGTGCAAGATCAGTATTCTGATGTGTTGCCTAGGAGTTCTAGAGTAAATATGTACGACAACAGTACATTTACAGTCACAACCAGCACAGCCGACATCGGAGCACCCCAACTCCTGAAAGACACTGTTGCCAGCACGGCTTACAACGATCATCGTGCAATATGTGATATGACCGAAAATGACATATATGACGGAGAAGTGGCTTCGAAAGATGTTACTGTAGATGGAATGGTTGATAATGGACACAATGGCAAATTCGAGTATGCCAGAGAGGATGGATATGTACAGGGCGAATCGGACGTTTCTCCTAGCAACACGAAACCCATCAGGAAAGAAAAAGCTGATATGATAGAAAACGACGTCTACGACGGAGGGCCTCCTCCCCATAATGACCCCGTTGGCAGCATGGATGACAACGAAAATCATGATAGCAGACGCATATCAACAGAAAAAAGTCATATGACAGAACATGATTTGTATGATGGAGGACTGGATACGGGAGATGATACTGGTGGGGGAATGGTTGACAATGAACTCTATGATAAATTTGGACATGACAGAGAAAGGGATTCTATACAGGACGAATCGGACGATTCTCCCAGCAACGTATTTGATAAAAGCGTTCAGGATGACGAGGATAACGTTATGGTGTCCAATGGTCTCTACCACAGTTTCAAGTAGCAGCAGAGATGCTGCAGGTAACACGGTCTGTGGTGGCGATGATTCAACAGGAAATGATGATTATAAGGATAATATTATATTACGGTCATTAAAATAAGATGATTTTTGTCAATGATGGGTGTATGTAAATCTGAGACTTACACAAAACGGCTATCAGGCATTTACGTCATCAGTGGGTGCATGAACAGGAATGTATATGTAGAAATGCAGCAAATGAAAAGAAACTGTCCACACAGTGTCCAGCTACTCAAAATATAAAGACATTAGTTTCATCTAAGTGTATAATATTAGACAGAAAATATTGCTTCTCTGGTCAAATGACATTTTTACATATTTGGTCATATTTAATGTTCAAATGCAACCGAACTCGTTTTGTTGAAGACTATTTTCAAAATATGCAATGCTCTTCTGTTATGAATGGCAATGAATTATAAGTAAATACCGTTCTTTTGCCAATTACAACCCAAAACAGTTTAAGATAGTTTCGTACATCAGATTTTTCATATTTGAAGAAACAAATAACCTCGCCTCTGCGTATGTCACTTCGACTGACTCGTGCTGTCATTTGCTCTTTCCATATATACCCTGTTCGTATTCTCTATATATTGCAGTCTTGGCATTTTCACTGGTGATGCAATTTAACAACACGATATAAATCGAGGAAACACGATAATTATAAAATTAAGAACACAATGAATGTAAGAGGCCGATGTTATTCTTCTCAGGGGAAAATTTCATGCCTTTTTCCTGTATCAATGACATGGAAAGTCGTCGGTTTCCTGATGTTTACGAGCTAATGCTTCTTCCAAATGTGGGAGAAGTAGTTTAACAATATTCATGTCGTCATGCGTATGTTTATGTTGTTTATATTATTTGTTCACTGATTCAATCACCCCTTTCTCGTTTTACTTTTTCCAGTTTCTCTAATGTACATAATTCGGATGATTGCGTTAAATGTATATATGTACACTTATATAGCACATGGAAGCTAATAAACATTATTTGACTGTTTGTCAGAGTATATTCTATACATCCTAACTAGATACATTTAACGCCAAACACACCGCATACACACATTTCCATTGACTTCCCTACGACCAAGCATTCCCATTTGTGAATGTATGTATTCTTCAAATAATTTGAGCAAATTCCATCCATGACTATTGCCTCATGCGCAATATTAAAAAAAACAGTGATCACCATCAAGCTTGAAGATAAACGTGATAAAAAATACTAAAAATATGGGATCATGAAATATATATGTCAATATCAAATATCAGAAGAAACATAAGTGTTGACGACAAACGTCCTATGCAAGAACGTGTATGTCTGTAAAGCCTGACACCAATACACATCCCATATTTTGCACGTGACTCATTTGTGGTTTTGACACTTTCAAGTAAGGTCGATTAATCTCTGTGGACCATTATTTTTGTCAATCTTATTAATTGTGCTTTTCATACAGTTGTGATATACTTGATTTACTACTTTGTGTAAGAACTAGCAATGAGGCGTCTGCAACGCGGGGAACTTCTACGGGCTATTTGCATAATTGAAACTGGCAGAAGTCAAAGTGCATTGGCCAATTCGTCCAATGTTTCATAGTGTGTGATTCGCAGACTATGGAACAGGTACCAACAAACCCAAAATGGTGACGATCAACCTCGTTCAGGGCGGCCATGTCAACGACAAGAGTACAGGATCGATGACCTGAATCTAGGCTCTATGAAATCGAGCTCAAATGGCGATTTAAATTGCTGCATACCTTCGTTAGTCTACAGGAGTACGAATTACGTGTCAGACGAAATCGTCTACATGCAGCTCATCTCCATGCTCGACGGCCGCGTGTTGTGCTGCCCCGTAACAAATCGTTATATTGCCAACAGTGTCAATGACAACATTATCAATGGTGTACATAACGTCGAATCTGGGATTCCAACCAACACCCTTTGCTGTCCCGTTTGCAAAGCCTGTTAGTCGACATGTTGTCTTTCATGACGACAAATCACGTGCTCACGAATAGTTAATGCTCACCTCCAGCAGTACAACACCCACAGAATACCATGGCCAGCAATGGGCCCAAACGTTTTCCAAATTAATCACGTCTGGACATGATAGGGAGACGTGTTCGCCAACGTGACAGACCACCGACCACGTTGGCTGAACTTGGTCGGGAAGTGCATGAGGAGTGGGATGGAGAGACTCCCTCAAATCGTCACTGGGAGACATGTACATGTACATAGTAATGAATGTCAAATTTGACACATTGTGGCGCTATCACGCACTTCTGATAAAAAAACCGTCAACTTTGAAATTTTCCATCCTACCTCTGTCGTCCTTCGAGATCGTTAGCGGTCGAAATATCTACTGTCATACTTCACTACGGTTGTGATGTGTTCCCAATTCGTTAATTATTATCATAGAACTATTACTGGAAAGTAATATCTCTTGAATTTTTTTTAAATTTTATGATATTACACAGTATCGCCTACATTTTATGAATAGCTAATGTAAACTATAGTTGGCTTATCTTTCACAAAAATGAGGAAAAGCCTGAAAAATGACTATTTACATGTATACTGTTTCACTTTTATATAGTTACTGCATATAAAACCTGTATTTTCGTGACTGAACAATCCTATCATCAAATGAAAACTTTTCATTATAACATCAAAAATAGAATGCTTACTAACCGCTCAAGGTTTCTCTTGGCTTCGTTAAATAGCCATACAAACTAATGATATGTATCTATGGTCATAGTTAGACACTGAGTAACAAATATTCTGATCGAGTACATTATTTTCCTTTTCCTTGCTGACCTAATTGCATGGGGATTATCCCCATAAGTGCAACACAACTAGCATATTGAATACTGGTCCGTCTGCACATTAATTGACCGACCGATGTGCGCACCTGTTATAGATTCAAACGTTGGGTATAACACTGTATTACAGGGTTAGTAGTGTAGATCGCCGAAGTGGTAATAGACAGGTAAATGCGTATCAAGGTCTGAACAGCGTCAGTGATAGTTTGCGAACAGGACAAGCACCAAGACAAGTGGTCTGACTCAACCAGTCTTGGGAAGGATCACACGACCATGAATAATTTATTGCAGTAAAATGGTCTACAACGTTTCCAAATAATAATGGAAAATGATAGCAAACCATCAGGCTGTGCTTAATTACATGTACGTGAACGAGGCAGAATTAAAGATTCTTGTCCAATCATGACGCAGCACAATCTTTATAATTACTGAACAAATGACATAAATGTTAAATTACATAATGCTCATTCTCATGAAATGATACAAAACGTTATTAATAACAGAAAACCATGATGTTGTACAATGTATACAGTCTATCCTTGTAATAAAGTCAAATATTATCGGTTTCATTTATTTACTAAAGGACATCGAAGTATCGAAAACGTGTAACGCATGTCTTGTTTCAGACATCAACACATCTTTAGCAGCAATGGTTGGTGTTCTGGCGTTATGCTGCGTATCGATCATCGTGTATTAGTAAGTATCTCCTGTTATCTTTACCCCCGAACATTTAAGGCAAGACGACAGAGATATTAATATAAACAATGTAATCTTGATAATAAAGACATCATTATTTGCTCATATTAGTAGGGATGTATTTCAATATTTCAATGTATTTCATTTTTGCAGCAAGGTAATCAGGCCCTACAGAAAGAACTTGAGGTCTAATTCGCAGACGCCCCCATCAGAAAGCATCCCCCGAGAGGTATTACAAACGCCCAGTCAATATAGAATACAAAATAACAATGTTACAGAGGATTACAGTTACTCGAATCTGGTTATGTATGATAGAAGTAATAACTACGAGAGGCTACATCAACGCAACGACAGTGGTGAGGATCATGGCTATGGTGACACCATTACAGAAGGACCGTCATATATCAACACGGTTGGCGGGGAAGATCACAAAGGTGATGCTGGTACTGAAGGAGGACCGTCGTACATCAACAGTGGTGGTGTGGAAGACAGCTACAGTGACACTGGTAGAAGAGGATCCTCATATGCCAACAGTGGTGGCGTGGAAGACAGCTACAGTGACACTGGTAGAGGAGGATCCTCATATGCCAACAGTGGTGGTGTGGAAGACAGCTACAGTGACACTGGTAGAAGAGGATCCTCATATGCCAACAGTGGTGGCGTGGAAGACAGCTACACTGACACTGGTAGAGGAGGATCCTCATATGCCAACAGTGGTGGTGGGGAAGACAGCTAACTGACACTGGTAGAGGAGGGCCGTCATATGCCAACAGTGGTGGTGTGGAAGACAGCTACAGTGACACTGGTAGAGGAGGATCCTCATATGCCAAGAGTGGTGGTGGGGAAGACAGCTAAAGTGACACTGGTAGAGGAGGGCCGTCACATGCCAACAGTGGTGGTGGGGAAGACAGCTACACTGACACTGGTAGAGGAGGGCCGTCATATGCCAACAGTGATGGTGGGGAGGATGGCTACAGTCACACTGGTTGTATGACAAACTTGGTGATAGAGTAGATAGTTGTTGTGACACTGGTAGAGGAGGAACATCATACTTCGTTATTGTTTGCGGGGGAGATGGCGACGGTGACACTGACTTTTATTGCTGATTCCAGGTGTGCAAATGAAGCTGAAACTGTTCAATATAGAAAGAAAATATTAGTTCATTGATGCTTATCCGTACACTACAACTACACTAGGTTTGTTAAATATGATAATAAAACGATTTTCTTTTTAATTCCTTTCATTCAAAGTGTCTTCGGGAATTATAAAATGTTTGGAATATAGAGCTGACTTGATCGGAGATGTGATTTCAGCCAGCTGAGACTGTGCATGTGGACACAAAGTTGCACCGATTACGTAATACATCTAGGCTCTTTGTTCAAGGAGAAATATACAAGAAATGATATGTAACAATCCTCTGTGTACTAATTACATGATTCGATGTTATCAGTTCTGAGTTCTGAGAAACAGTGATTGAAGTATCTACTACAATTAACAACACATGTATATAATAAAATATAAAAATAAATCTCCGCTGGAATTGGTGGTGACGATCATTCGACTGGGTAAGAATAGTAAAATATATAATTAGACTATCAACTATTCACACCCGATACAAAAAACAAGAGACATGTTTTAGTAACAGTGCTATTACATGACAATTGAATTCAAATTAGCAGATTAATTAGAGGAAGTGACTACATCTACGTTATCCCCTTTAATCAAATCTGTCAATAAACTGAAAGTCATATCTATCGGAGACACCCCAGAGTTACTAAGTTTTATTCATTTTAATTTACTATATTTCTACAATTCAAAATACTTTAGTGTTACATCTTTTAGAGGAATGGGCATACACAGATGAATTATATTGATTCCGTGTGTGAATGCACGTAATACTTCTCAGCTCCAATATGCTTCACACGGGTGCTATATCTGAATTTGTAATGTGAAGCATACGTGTAGTCTTCAGTCAAACAAGTTTGTGTTGTCTATGCTATATCCTGTCCTTGGGAACCGCTTGTGCACAGGCAAGTTGTTTAGTACAATATGTTTTTCTTTATTAAAACCTGTTTCAATTTGTTTCCACCATTTTCTCTATACCCTTTTATGCATGTTTATTTTATGTTTCTTGATATTACTGTTCATGTCAGTGTTCCCAAATCTCGTGTATCTCGTGTATCAGTGTTTTACACTTTAATGTTTCTCCTTCCTTAAAAAACGCCATAACATTTCAGATCATGACCATCCTCTAATACACAACAGATGATGCCAAGCCATATTTGATTTGTTTGTATTGTCTACATGGTCCTAAAATTGATTTGCCTAGACTCTAAATCTTTTGTCTAGTGCATATTTTCACAAACAGGACCCTTAGCTGATATAAGGAATGTAACATTTATCTTACTTACTTTTTTTAACTGTTTTTTTTTATCAAATAAGTCTGTTAACAACGTTTATACAATTACTGTTTTAAAAAATATGGTGTTAT